ATTACATCCCCAGCCCTGCGTGTGTTTTAAAATTCCGGTTCAACTGTCTCTTTTAAAGTAAGATGTTTCGTTCCTTAAAATCTTTCAGCATGTGATTCCTGGCTAGAATTATAAACCATCTACCCTGAAACTTAAGTGAGCTAAAATGACTACTTCTATCCACTCAGGAATGTAGTAAAAAAAAAAAAAATCTGTAACATATGTATTGTTTTATGTTTCCCTATTTCTGTCATTTTTTTCTATTCGTATTTATTCTGTTTTTGCTCTTCAAAATAAAATTAAGTTACATTAAAAAATAAAAAAAATAAAACTGAAGATGGGGTAGGGGCGCACTCCTGTAATCCCAGCACCTGGGAGGTTGAAAACAGGAGAATCACTACAAGTCCGATCTATGTAGAGAGACCCTGTAGACCCTGTAGACCCTGTCCTAAATTCATAAAATAAAATAAAATAAAATAAAATAAAATTGCATGGAAAAAAATATCAGTGAATTAATAAGCACCCCGACATCAAATCCATCTCTCTTCAGTGTCCGAGTCACCGCTGTACACACTGCCCATTGTTAGACCCACTATCAAAGTTGTAGTTCCTCAACTGCATTGTAAGTTTTATGTCACAGAGATCCTGACATTTCTTTGAATCTCTCCAAGAAATGCTTTTCCAAAGGCTTTTATTCAGGGGGACTGCTCAGTCACCATGACCACATGCTCAGTTGTGTTCGCATCTTTCCATACAAGCCTTTCGAAATAGTATTTCAGGTACCGCTAGAGCTACTCGCTTGGGGTGGAAGTAACAAGTAAGATAAATGCTTTTCTCTCAACCCCATCATTTCATTCTCTTAGGAATGAAAAAGTGGGATTTCTGGCCTTGGTTGCCCCCAACACACATGCTGAATATTAGAGACCTGACTGCTAGCATCTTTATTGGCAGCAAAGTACGGAATGTCTTTGCTGTTTTGGATTAGTGACTCCCAACATCCTTGTCCCTGTCCTCGTGTTTCCACCCCACACTGGCTTTCTTTTCTAGGTTTTGCCCAGCCTTGTTTTCTTTTTTGGAAGTTACAAACCCGTGTCCATGGAATATGTTCTTTCAAACTCCCTGGGCACATGGAGCACCCTGTGTGATGTCTTTCTATTTCTGGTAGAGAATTACTTCATTGGCAAATTATCCAGTGCTGGACTCAGAAACTAAGAACCTGAGATCTGGGCAGTTTCCCTGTGAGGTCTGGTTTGATGAGGGCCAAGTTAGAACCTTCCTCTTGGCAACGGTTCTCCTACAGTACAGAAGCCTCTAGGCGCCCCATACCCTGGTGTGGGTTTCACCTCCTTTTGTTCTTCTGTGAGCCACCTTACCCTGGCATCTCCCAGTAGCCAGTGCCCTACCTTGCCTCCTACACACCAGCACACACTCCCACAGCACACACTCACCAGCACACACACCAGTACACACTCCCACCAGCACTCACCAGCACATGCTTCCACCAGCACACACACCAGCACACACTCTTACCAGCACACACTCCCACCAGCACACACTCCTACCAGCACACACACCAGCACACA